CAAAAATTAGGGATAAAATTGAAAAATGTACACCCGAGAAGTTGAAAACCTACACTGGGCGGCTTCGGCAAAAAAGGGTATCCCGGTGAACTGAAAACCCGTAAAGGGCGATTCACGCAAAAGTTAGGGAGTTGAAAGGCAAATGACTGCGGTCCGAATTGGATACTACGGTGCACATTGGTGCGGGAGAATGCACTTGAGAGTTCGATTATCAGATACAATCTCTTCGGAAATTTGAATACCAGGAAAGCGCCAGAGTCAGGCGAGTCATAGGAGGACCAGCTCATGATGTTCGTCTGCGTCACGTTGCCGACATATGTGCAAATTTGATTTGTCATTGTATTTATGCTTCCTGTGCATATTTGTATATTTGTTATGGGTAACTTTCTCTTTTCAGGAGTTACATCCAGTGTACAAAACTCTGCCCATTCAGGGGCCCTTTAATAAAACATGTTATTCAGTATGTGATGCTTGTTCTTTGCTGTTTTGTATGTGAAAAGCGCCAATGTTTAATAAAACTAGCAAATGCATAACATTGCTGGCCCTTGCCAATAATTGCTAAAACTTTGAATTGACTGAAGATGATGTCACTAATGCTAACCTGAATAGATTTGGTTGTATAGACGTGTCTTGTCTCGTTTGTGGTGTTGCAGGGTTCTTGACCATACGAAGTGGACGCTCGGAAGATTGCAGTCCTAACTAGAAGCTCATAACGAAAAGACTTGGTCCTTATGTGAAGTGGACCCCCAGGCAGGTCGCGCTTCATTTCCTGAAGCTAAGATAACAATGTTCCTTACTAAAAAAGGATCAAATTCCCCAGCTAGTCGCAGCTTATCCGAAGGACATTCTCCAGCAGGGTCATTTACCCTCAGTAGAGTTTGGTGATTCCAAGATTGTAGGCTGTATTCAGATAGTGTGGTGTCCCCCGAAAGGATTCCCTATCTCGAGCATAGTTGTTTAGCCTCAGAAGATTAATATTTCCAAACTTGTGAGCTGTACCCAGACAGTCTACTCTTCCCAATAGAGATTCCCTTCCTAGTAGGGTCATTTATTCTCCCCAACGGAGTCAGTTGATATTCCCCAATGAGAGTCGTTTCATCCCCAGCGGAGTTCTCTCTTTTCAGCAAGTGTCTTCTTTCCTCCCGGTGGAAATCGAAGGTTAAAACTCTCCCCGAAAGAGTTGGTTGTGTGTCCTGGCATTTATTTTGCCGGAATACTTTGTGATACCCGTTCACTCCCCAGCAGGGTGATATTTGTCTTCGACGGCAGATTTGATGAAGCAAGCTTGTCAGAGCTTTTCCTAGCAGCTAGAGCCTGCATTTGCATTGGCATATAGTGTCATATTTGCATCTACCAAATACAAAACGTGTAGCATTTCCATGTTGTATGGAGCATTATGCCATTATCAAACATACGCGTTATGAAACATAGATCAGGTTGGTTAACCTTTCACTTTCAGGTGTGCTTTCTCAATAGGAGTATGAAGTTCTAAAGCTCAGATATTACCAGACAATCGAGGTCTCGCCGGGAGACGTGTGATGATGTGATTCAGTTTATTATTTTCCCACAGAGTTGCCAATTGAGGCGTTATTGTATCCGGCCAGCGGAATGTTTTTCTTCAAGTTTGTTGTTGCGGCGGCGTTTCAGGTATTAATAGAATCAAAGTTCAGAAGTAGCCACTTGTTATCGAGACAAGTGTTTGACAGTTATTTTCGGAATATCCCCAGTGGAGTTAGTTACTGCAAAGGATAGGCAAAAAAGCTATGTCCGAGAAGTGTATTTTCCTGCGTGATGGGCAGAAGTGTATTTTCCTGCGTGATGGGCAGAAGTGTATTTTCCTGTGTAATGGGCAGAAGTGTATTTTCCTGCATGATGGGCAGAAGTGTATTTTCCTGCGTGATGGGCAAAAGAATAATTTTCCTGCGTGATGGGCAGAAGAATAATTTTCCTGTGTGATGGGCAGAAGAATAATTTTCCTGTGTGATGGGCAGAAGAATAATTTTCCTGCGTGATGGGCAGAAGTGTATTTTCCTGCGTGATGGGCAGAAGTGTATTTTCCTGCGTGATGGGCAGAAGTGTATTTTCCTGCGTGATGGGCAGAAGTGTATTTTCCTGCGTGATGGGCAGAAGAATAATTTTCCTGTGTGATGGGCAGAAGAATAATTTTCCTGTGTGATGGGCAGAAGAATAATTTTCCTGTGTGATGGGCAGAAGAATAATTTTCCTGTGTGATGGGCAGAAGTGTAATTTTCCTGTGTGATGGGCAAAAGAATAATTTTCCTGTGTGATGGGCAGAAGAATAATTTTCCTGTGTGATGGGCAGAAGAATAATTTTCCTGTGTGATGGGCAGAAGAATAATTTTCCTGTGTGATGGGCAGAAGTGTATTTTCCTGTGTGATGGGCAAAAGAATAATTTTCCTGTGTGATGGGCAGAAGAATAATTTTCCTGTGTGATGGGCAGAAGAATAATTTTCCTGTGTGATGGGCAGAAGAATAATTTTCCTGTGTGATGGGCAGAAGAATAATTTTCCTGTGTGATGGGCAGAAGAATAATTTTCTGTGTGATGGGCAGAAGAATAATTTTCCTATGTGATGGGCAGAAGAATAATTTTCCTGTGTGATGGGCAGAAGAATAATTTTCCTGTGTGATGGGCAGAAGAATAATTTTCCTGTGTGATGGGAAGAAGTGTATTTTCCTGTGTGATGGGCAGAAGAAAATTTTCCTGTGATGTAAACAGAATAGTGTTCCCGTATTGGATAGGTGGATGAAGTGTTACTAAGTCGATGCATGTTTCCCGTGAGAGATAGGCAGATGAACTCCTCAGTATCTAGACGGATGATTTCCCCGTAAGGAACATAGTATGTGTCCCATGTGTCATACCCCAAATTTGTCCTACCCTGTATATAGCTTTCATTTTGTATGCTCGGCCCCTAGCCAGGACTCAGGAAAAAAACAAAAAAATGTCGCTTTGACTTTTATTTTGTTTTATTTTATTTTGCCCAAGTTCAGGTTCATTTGAGGCCATCAGGATAATAAGGTGAGGTGTTGGGGGAAGTTTATGTGACTTTGACCTGGGTCGTTGGTCAGAGAGGATTTGGTCTCTTGATTTAGACCAGGAAAGGCTTTATTCAATTGGCGAGGTTTAGAACTTTCAGTCACGGTTTTATGCTAATTCAGGGCATTGGGGTGGTCTAAGTTACCAGAATATGGCGTACTGTCAAGTGTCAGAGTGTATAACCATTTGGATCCAGTTGTTTCTATAGACAAAGTTTTGTGCAAAGTAAAATCTGGAAAGTCTTAGTCAATACCTTTTGTTTGATGTCTCAAGTCCAAAGTTTTTTGTGTGTAAAAAATTATTACAAAAATACATTGGATCAAAGATTTGGAACACATTCTCATTGGTTATTCTCACGAGAAGCCCATATTACAATTTACAAAAGAGCAAACCAGGAAATGGTACAAAAGTGACAGCAGCCCCGCGCTAATAACGAGTTGATGCAAAGGTCGCGATAACCGAGCCACAAGGCCACTGCCCTGTACTCCACAAATTAATCCATGTTACCTGCATAAAACTTCATAAGTCGCCTTTGTTGCTCGACCATAACCTGCATTAAATAACAAGACAGTCATTTTGGCATTTGGTATGTGAAAAAGTTAGTCAAAAGAAAGTTCAATAAAGGCTATAACAACTATCGCATCACACAACAGACGGTACACTGCTCTGTACCTGCAGATTCTCAAAACAAGAAAAATGGGAATTATGTGAATGACAAAGCCAGCCTGCTATCACACCAAAAAAGAGCATGAAAACCAAGGGAAGAAAAGTTGTTGTTTCTGCTCTTCAGTTTGCCTGCACGGATGGTGTCTCAAACGACGTCGCCACCGCTGAAGGACTTGTTCGAGATGCTCAGAAACTCGGCGTAAACATTATTCTCATTCATTCAGGCTATTAGATACTGAACCTGCATTGACAAAACATAACAAAGTGTCAAGTTATTGTTGTTTGATGTGTACACACATGACATGAGAGAAGCCATGGCAACATACAATGATATGTCTCCGCATACATCGACCTTATGCTTGTACCGCAAATTGCCGGGTCACGCAATCAATGATACAACCACACGCCATGACCTGCAGCAGATAGTATAAGCCATTTCAATTTCCAATTGCGACTCACATAATTGAAGAACAAAATTTTTCAAAAAGGAAAGGTCACTCACCAGCAACTACCCTGCTACCGGCAGATTCCGCAACTCAGCTCAGCAGCTCAAACCACACACTAAGAAGGTTGTGCACAAGCATCAGCCAACCGAACTTCTTTCTAATCAGAGAGAGTTATCAATGATTATTGCGGCAGGCCTTTTTACTACAACCGACAATTTGCTGTTTGAGCCTCCTGTAGAACCGTTGGCATACACAAAGCCAAGACCACCACAATTGCTTGTATTGTTGGGGCCATTTACTGACCTCCACCCAAACACAGACCCATTTTCATGACGTTTTTCACTGAGAGAACTAAGAAAGGTCATCACTGATACAATAATCCCTTCATGTCTCAAGCTTTACTTTATCATCCCTTTCAAGCCTGACTTCAACACAAGAATCAAATGTATGTAAAATCTAAAGAAGAAAAGGAAGAGAAAAAGCTTACAGTGAAAAGTGCGTTTAGTGTGAGCATAAACAAGCATGAACAATCCGTAGTAAAACCGAAGATTTATGAACCAAAATTCCAAACAGTCTCTCCAAAATTGCTTCCTCTCAACGATATTCATTTCTTCAATTGGTTTCGTTCTTCTTCGCGGGGGTTTCTAGGAGCTTAGAGGTTTTGGAGTTGTTGAGATTTGGGGTGTTATTTTCATCGATGAATCGCTTGTTGAAACTGTATGCGAACTCAAACTGTGTATAATAAGCATCTGAGGCGCCAAGATTCTTAATAGAGGAGGAACTGCTGATGTTATATTACATCTGAAGTGGACGAAAACGCAGGCGAGAGAAATGGAGTGCAACAAGGATGAGGCCACCAGAGCTAAAGAAATTGCCAAGCGGAAGTTTATTGAAGAGGACACTTTGGGTGTGAAGAAGTTTGCTTTGAAAGCCCAAAATTTGTTTCCTTCCCTTGAAGGTATTCCTCAAATGATAGCAACACTTGACATATATATTTCAGCCGATAATAAAGTAAAAGGAGAAGCAGATTGGTATGGTATACTTGGTGTAAGCCCCCATGCTGATGATGATACAGTTCAGAAACATTATAGAAAGCTAGCTCTCATGCTTCACCCTGACAAGAACAAATCCATCGGAGCCGACGGGGCTTTTAAACTTATTTCGGAGGCGTGGAGTATACTGTCCGACAAGGCTAGAAGGGCAGCTTATGATGAGAAGATAAATGCAAGAGCACAGAAAGGCTCGGCCATTTTCGGTGGTTCGTCAGCAAAAGCGACTGCAAATGGGGCTAACAATAGTAAAAAGAAAACACCTTCAATGGGAAAGTCTCAGAAGAATACTGCTAAAGAAAATACATCGTCTTCCAATAAATCTAAATCCACATTTTGGACTACTTGCAAACGCTATAAAATGCAATACGAATATCTCAGAGTTTATCTTAACCTTAAACTCGTGTGTCCCAGCTGCCATGAAGCATTTTTGGCTGTAGAAACTGATCCGCCTCTTGCAAGTGGTATCAGACCTGGAACATCGTGGATTTTTAAACAAAAGTACGATAACGAAGGACCTAACAAAAGCAAATCTGTTGGAAAGAACAACACGGCACCTCCAAATGATGGAGCAAAGTCTAACAAGAACAGCTTCCAGTGGGCTCCATTCTCTAAAACTTCCGGTGTTTCTGATGTGACTCAAGCGGCAAATGTAGTTCAGCAGGCATATGATAAGGTGAGGCGTGACTGTGAGGAGGCACAAGCAGCTAACAAGAGGAAATAAAACAAGCCCATACAAGCCAACGCAACAAATATATGCCCTGCACATTTTAAACCAAGCCTTCAAATCTCAGCCCACTTTTGATGAGTGGAATTTATACAAAATAAATGAAACAAGGTATTGCAAATAAGACTAAAAGAAGGCAATACAGGACAGAGTCTCCACAAAGGTGTACGAGCAAAATGCAATGAAGAGTCCACGTCCGTTAGAGAAGCACCAGAAGAATCTTATAGCAAACCTCTAAAAAAACCTGTTATCACAACCCCCAACCTTAAAAAACCATTCTTCAACTATCTTCCATAACCGAAAAAAACCTCACCTACTCTCCAACCAATGACTTGGTTTAGCAGCAACAATATAACTCGCTTTGAACGAACAACAACAGCTCAGCAAGCAGGAATATCAGGGACATTACCTACAAAGAAAAACATAATCTTCATATTTCTCCTTTCATCAACAAAACCTCTCAATAATTAGTTCATCCCAAACATCAGTTCGCCCTAAACATCACAAAGAAAACACCACGACCGAGCTGCCCTGGACCACCCTTTTTCCTTCCATCTGATGTCAGTTTATTTCCATTCCCCAACCTTCATTGCATAGCCAAACAACAAAACATTACCGTTAAATTGTCTTCTTCAATCCAGATTCCCACCTGCAAATCAGAAATTCAAAACTGATTAGAAGGATACAATGAGATAGAACCAATCCTAAACCATAAAAACCGCAACACCACTCCTCATCAAACAAACTTTCTGACCTTGATCATAAATCTGCAGCAAACACGGTTTCCGTCTCCTTCATTCGACTCTCCACTTCTTTCTTTCACATAAACGTCACAGCACATGAAGCCACACGTATAACACTGCGCGCAGTACACAACAACTTGCTACCATTTTCCTTTTCACTTAAACCACATGATATATGCACCTTCAATCATTAAATTTCTTCACCAACCTCTTGTTTTGGAAACTACCAGCATCAAAACAACCATTTTCTTCATTGAAACTCCTCTGAGACCTCCTTTCCACATCGACCTTCACCCCCATTGTTATTAACTTCAACCATAATGACCCTGCGAAAAGTTCAAACACAGAATAAACCAACACGACAACAGATGTGTCACACACATAACTTGTACGGAAAAGTTCACAATACACCACTACTTGTACCATTCTGAAAAATACATTGAAACCTGTACAAAATTCAGCCCAGAACCACGTACCCTCTCTGCTTTTCATCCTACAGTGTAGCAAAACCACAACATCGTACCTTCTCCCAAATTCCCAAGATACCCTTTAGAGCTTACATAAATACCATCTTCTTTCAGAGTAAAAGGGGGGAGCCTAAAAAAAACCCTAGCCGCCCTTGCACTGTTCATCTCCCAATCTGAAACTCTTCGCCGCCGAAACTCGTCCTTCAATCTCTTCCTCCAATCTTCTTCAACCAAAACGAAAAAACATAAACTAACCTCTTCTTCCCTTTCTTCTCATTGTCCGCCGTGAAACCCTTTTTCTCTCCACCTCAAACGCATTACATTCACAACCATTATTTCCTCTCTTCAAAAAGAAAACTCAAACCTTCACCCCTTTACCTACTGCGAATCACCAACTACAATCCTCAAACTCAAATCCATAATCTAATTCCAACCCAAAAACAACCCTTTTTCATTCCACAACCTTCGAATTCTCCATTTACTGTACACATCCGTGAAACCAGTGTTCTTACGACGTCTTCGTTTGTTTCGGATACAGCGATTGATGCTTTGGGAAGGAGGTGTGGGATTCCGGCTAGAATTGTTGCGGCGGCTTTGATTGCAATTTGTCCTTGGTACATTTCGAGATCTGTCGTTGGATCTTATGATAATGAAGGAGTTGCGGTTTTCGCTTTGTTGACATTTTATTTGTTTGTGAAAGAGGTTAATACTGAATCGTTATCATGGTCTTTGGCATTTGTGATTGTTTATTTCTGTACGGTTTCAACTTGGGTGGTTATGGGTTTATTATCAATTTGGTTCCACTCTATGTGTTGGTGTTGTTGGTTTCCAACTTATTTCAAAAACCGTGTTTTGAAAAATATGGCAGAAAACAGTGTTATTTGAGAAGTCATGAGCGGTCTTTTTTATATTTTTTTTTCATAAATCTTGCTTTTTTTTAGTGAAAATATTTATTAAGTTTTGGTCAATTTTGTAATAATTTGATTTTTTGCTAAGTTTGGTAAATATTTTACAATTATTTCAATATATTTTAATTATATTTTCAATTTTCATTTAATTTCTTTTTTATTTTTCGGTCGATGACGATACCCCGAGTTATAATTTGTCAAATTATTGACAGATAATAACAAGCCCGAGACCATTTCTTTTCAAAACTTTCATTTTCGTTTTTATCCACTTTTTTTTCTTTTTCCCTAGTCAATGATGACTTTAATGATTATTATCGGTCAAATTATTGATAGATGATAGTTCAGTCAAAACTATGTCATTTTCGCTTCAAATCATTTTTAAAAACATTTTCTCGATCAAACTCCCAAAGAAGGAGATTTTTGGAATCTAACATTCCTTGGATCTTCGAGTGAATAATTCTCGAGGCACGCTCTTGAGTTGTTATTCACTCAATCTTTTGATTTTCTCAAGCGCTTTCTCAATATCTTTTTTTGATTAAAACTCCGAAAGAAGGAGATACTTGGAATCTAGCATTCCTTGTGTCTTCGAGTGAATAATTCTCGAGGCACGCTCTTGAGTTGTTATTCACTCAACCTTTCGATTCTTTCAAATTCCACCATTTTCAAGCATTCTCCTAAGTCGAATGCTCGTCCGCATTCGCAACCCACATTTCATTCACAATTCCTCGTGGTTTCGATATTAGGAGCACCCTCAGGGACTAATATCGTTTCTCACAATCCTAATCCTTGACACGTCGTCAAGTAGGTTTCATTTTCAAACAAATCCTCGATACGTCGTCGAGCTACTTTAAAACAACTTCTTTTGGGCCTCGCATGCCATTCTTCGATTCGATCCTTTCACAAACATTTTTAAAAACTTACGAAAGAGAGATATTCTTAGAATCTAGCATTCTTTGAATATTTGAATGAGTAACTCTCGAGGCGCGCCCTTGAGTTGTTATTAGTTCATTCTTTCGATTTCAAAACATCCAACTCTTTATCTTCAATTTATTCAGTCAATTCCCGAAAGAACTGAGTTCTTGGAGTCTCGCAATCCTTGAATTCTTGAGTGACAAGCTCTTGAGACGTGCTCTCGGGTTGCTTGTCAGTCACTCTTTCGTCTCTTTCTCAAACTTCCAATCCATTCAACCTCCTCTTTTCGTGGTTGTTACCAAGAACTACGGACGCTCTGATTCTTTATTCATTCTTGAATATAAGATACGTAGGCACAAGATTGCGACGATCTTGGCGAGCACAATCCCCTCCATCTTCCGTTTCCCCCCATCCTTTCCCGTAGTCGAACTACGATGCTCTGATTTCTCATTCTCATCCGAATGAGCATACGTAGGCACAAGGGCCCCAATCCTTGGCGAGCACCCTATCTTCTAACCACCCATCTCCCCATTAGCGTCTTTAACCTTTTATCGTACCAATCCTACCTTTAACAACGAGAAGGAAACAAGTAAACCTAAACAACACTCCCCATAATTACCTAAAGAGGTTCCAGTCGAGTACGACGGATGTGAAGGGTGCTAATACCTTCCCTTCACGTAACCGACTCCCGAACCCGGAACTTGGTTGCGACAGCCCTGTTCCTATTCCTTTCATTTCAAGAGGTTTTCTCGATATTTTCCTCTCCCGTTTATCAGGGAAAAATAAAGTTCGGTGGCGACTCTGTCGAACCGCATTTTCGCGCCTTTCGCGCGAGGGTCGTTTTCTCCGAAATGTCTCCGTGATTTTTCGAGGTGCGACAGGTGGCGACTCTGCTGGGGACGTATTTTACTCCATGCAAAGAGAGAGTCGAGCCTATCTTTTGGTTTGTGAGGAGTGTTCGTTCTTATTTGTTTTCTTCTTGTATTTGTTCTCTTGTGGATTTTATTTATGCTTGTTATCTCGCTTACCCGTGGTTATGGGGATGACGTCATGAGTAAGGCTCTACGCCCGAGCTTTGGTAAAAGCAGAGAGAACACCTAGTTTAGAATTGGTAGTCGAGTAGTGTTAGTCTCCGAGGACTCGCTCCTTATGGGCCTAGCATGAAAGCTCCTCCAGAGGAGACCTATTCGTAGATCTTGTTGTAACTCAGCTAGCCTGTTGCACGACTTGATTAATGAAGGGTCCGTGATTCTGGGAACCTTTTGTTAGCACCAGTTCTGATATTGGTGGTTGTGTAGTGTTAGTCTCCAAGGACTCGCTCCTTGTGCGCCTAGCATGAGGACCCCGCTCAGGAGAGACCTTATCGTCATTATCGTCGTAATCAGCCAGCCTGTTGCGTGACGCTAATATGACTAGTGTCCGTGATCCTGGGAACCAAATGTAGAAACCATCCCGTAAGTGGGTTTATGGGTAGATTGTTTAGATCTTCCCGCATAGGTTGTACCTGTCAATTTTCTTTGAGCAGGAATTATGGTTACTCCTCTATTACAGTTACCAGCTTCAGGAGCTGTTCGAACTATGATCTTGGGATCCTCGATCTTGTATCTTGCATTGCATCTTGCATATCATTCGCATTGCATTTCATATGTTGTGCATTTTTCATTTCCAGTCCTCCAACAGAATCTTATGTCTTCGTTCCTTCCTCTCCAGTAAATCAAGCTGATTCCCCGACACCAGTACGCAACTAGAGCCAATACCAGACGAATGATGGAGCAGATTCAACAGGAGCAAGTCACCTTCAGGGAAGAATTGGATTCTATGAAAGGAAAGATCGACCAGATCCTCGAAGCCATCCTCGCAGCCAGGAGAGAGGAAGAACAGCGTGAAGCCGCCGCTGTCGTCAACAACAATGGTCAAGGACAAGGGTCTACTGCCATCCCTTTGGTCCCAATTCCGAGTTCTCATGG